CACAATCTGAGATGTGTGCTGTGGGATATTCTGTGTGGCAAATGTGTTGCTCTGATTGGTTAGTAAATAAAACACTGACTGGCCAGTAGTCAGGCAGGAGGAAGTATAGGCAGGACAAGGAGGAGAATAAAGCTGGGAAGTGGAAGGCTGAGGAGAGAGACACTGCCAGCCGCCACGATGACAAACAGCATGTGAAGATGCCGGTAAGCCATGAGCCACGTGGCAAGGTATAGATTTATAGAAATGGATTAATTTAAGCTGCAAGAACAGTTAGCAAGAAGCCTGCCATGGCCATACAGTTTGTAAGCAATATAAGTCTCTGTGTTTACTTGGTTGGGTCTGACGGCTGTGGGACTGGCAGGTGAGAGAGATTTGTCCTGACTGTGGGCCAGGCAAGAAAACTCTAGCTACAGATGTGACTGTAATCATGTTTTCCCATAAAGTCCCCTTGTTCTGGTTTACCAGTAATGCCACCATAGTACCTGCTCTCAAATTTCAGAAGGGTGACACCCTGTTTGATCATTGGCAATGTCACATTTATTCTTGGCTATCAACAAGACCTGGCAATACCTGAGGGAGATCTTTCCCAGTTCAATCAGCATGCTTCTCAAATTTTGATGGTTCTCCTGTCAATCTGCTTACACTAGAGTGGATTCTGTAATTAAGCACACCACTTAATACAAACATTCCCTTGCTCCTGACATTCTGCAAATATTTAACAACTGTGTGTGTGTGTGTGTCCTGTTACATTTTGCATCTCTACCAGAAAGCTATGAGAGTTCAGACCACTTTGTATTCTTGCCACAATGTGCTTTATCTGCACTTTACCGATGTTGGTAAAAGGTGTTCCAATATCACAGTAACACACACACACACACACACACACACACACACACACACACACACACACACTACCTTTTCAGTAGAAAAGCCTGCTTGAGTTCAACTCCTCACTTTTTTTTGACCTACATAGTCACAGACAAAGGATTTAGGGAGGCCTTTCCCTTGAGGCATTTTTTGATTTAAACTAGGAAAACCTGAATGTGTGGGCTTAAGGTCCCAAGATAATTTCTGTCCTTCCCTTAGTGGAGTGTGGGTGGAGGGTGATTTTCTCCCTCAGTGGAGTGTGGGTGGAGGGTGATTTTCCATGCATTTCCTGATTGCCCTGTGGATGGGGGAGGAGACTGGGGGTGAAGTAATCCAGGGATAGATGCTCAGTCCCAGGCCTTCCTCTAACTCGGTTGTCATTTGCATGTTGAATTAAGAAGCATGTTGAAAAACAAGAGGCATATGGCTAATAGCTGATTCACGACCTTGGTGGAATTCTTGTCAATTTGGAGACTGTCCTTTGAAACCATGGCCAGCTCCCTCTGTGAGTGTGCTGTGCTCTATCTCTTCTCCGACTCCCAGAGTGCAGCAGAGGCAGATGGAGACTTCAGCTTGCACACCCGCCGAGAGCCACACCTTACTGCTGCTGGAACCCCAGCTCAGGGCCTGGGCTTTGGCCTTTCATCGACAGGGAACTTTCTTCTTTACCTTCTCAGGCAGTGTTCTCAGCACACTGTCCCACACCTCGGGAGGACTCTGGTCTTCAATGGCGGCACTTCCACATCAACAGTGAGGTAATACAGGTCACATGGGAGGGGAAGGTGGAGAGTGGGGCGGGGCAGGGAGGGCAGAGGTGGTGAGTTCATGTCGTTTTTAGGGAGCAAATATTTCTTTTTTCCTTCTCCTTGACACTGATGACTAGGACTGTATTGGTTCAGATGACTGGAGCAGGACATGTGTATGCTGAATGGGTCTGTCTCAAGCTGAGAGCCTCCTACCTTCTTTGCTAGTAAACACCTGAATTCTCTCCTCTCTCCTCTCCTCTCCTCTCCTCTCCTCTCCTCTCCTCTCCTCTCCTCTCCTCTCCTCCCCTCTCCTCTCCTTTCCTCCTCTCCCCTCCCTTCCCCCTCCCCTCGCTTCCCCCCTCCCCTCCCTCTCTCTCTTTGACAGAGTTTCATTCTGTACCCCCAGGGTGGAGGTCATGGCAATCCTTCTGCCTCAGCTTCCCAAGGCCTTTGCTAGCACATCTTGCTATGTTTCTTTCCCCTCATAGAAAGAGACTGCTTTTGTGACCCAAAACAGGCTCTGAAGAATGTGGGTCTTAGTAGCAAGTTTGAATTCATAGCTGTAGTAGTTGCTCAGGCCAAACAGTAGATCAACCTAGGGCCTCCTGTGTGCTAAACAAGTACTCTGCCAGTTAACTATATTACAAGTTCTCAAACAAAAAGCAAACAAACAAACAAAAAAACCCCAAACCCCCAAACAAACAAACCAAAACAACTTTTTGGCTCAGAATGATGGCTCACGCCTTTAATCCCAGAATTTGAGTGGCAGAGACAGGTAGATCTCTGTGAACTCAAGACCAGCTTGGCCTACATGGAGAGTTCCGGGACATCCAGGATTACATAGTTAGATCTTGTCTCAAAAAAATTCTCGTTTTTGAGACAGGGTTTTCCTAAAGTTGCTTAAGCTGGCTGGTAACTTGAGATTCTCCTGCCTCAGCCTCATACGTACATGGGATTTTTACTATAAGAGCCACGGTGGAAGGAATTCCTCCCCTTAGAAATAAGGATTCAACAGAAACACCACCCAGGGGCAGACAAAGTGAGTCTTTCTTCTAAAATGGCACCCATCCTGGATTGGTTTTAATGAACACTCCTAATTAGAAGCATGGGCAGCGCTCACGCCAGAGTCCACCCGTGTTTTTCTAGTGTGCATTTTTCTGGTTCTGGTTTGACCCCTCCCCACAGAGTCAATGTTTGCTGTGTGTTGTCTAGCTGTTTCCTTAGCTCAAAGCACTCCTGGAGGAGTTCTGATAGCTCACACTCTGATAGGAAAGTTACAGGACTCACGAGATAAGGGGGCATCAAGGCTCACAAAGCCCCTGCTCAGGGTTCCAGTAAATGATTGCTGACGACAAAGGGGACAGGGGGTGATGCAGTTGTCTGGGAGTCCCACAGGAAGGTCTGGCAACAGGGCTTTCCCACCATGAAGCTGCTTTGCTCCTTAACCCGGATAATCTCATTGGTTCTTCAGGCTAGGCTTGGATGGCATTTTCTTTTTTGTCTGTCTGTGAATAGGGGTTTCTGTACATCTCCTCAGGAAAAGTAACCAACATTATGTAAAATGTCATTCTAAACCTAGAGGCTTACAGTAACTCAGAGTCTTTAGAATGGATGTAAGTTTCTAGCTAAGCTTTAGGTTCACAGGTAAATGGAGCAGAAAGCACAGAGCATTCCCATTTGATCCTTGACCCCTTTGCTCCTGTCCAGCCTCCCCACTATCAATACCCTGCACCAGAGTGGTGTGTCCATTAGAACCAATAATCCTACACTGACACACTACCACCCAAAGTTCAGAATGCCTTGTGCATGCTGTATCTATTGCCTGTCATGTAAGCTCCTGTCATGGAAGCTGCCTTTACTTGGGAATGTGCAGTAGAGGTTCCTCTGTATAGGACAGTTCGTTGGATTTTGATGCTGGATAATAGTTTATTGTCTGGATTCACCAGGCTGTATTTGTGTGTTCATCTACCCAAAGGTCTCCTGGTTGTTCCTAAGTTTCATCAGCTAAGAATAAAGCTGTAATAAAATAGTGTACAGTACTTTCAATCTGTTTTGATAAATGCCAGTAAGCATGATTGCTTGGTAAATAGTAAAACTATGTGCAAATTTATTTTTTCTGTTGTTTTGCGTTTGAGACAGAATCTTGCGATATAGTTCAGGCTGAACTTGAACATGCAACTCTCCTGCTTCAGTCTCTTAAGGGCTAGAATTACAGATGAGCGCCACCCTACTTGGCCTCATTTACTTGTTTGCAGTACTGGGGATCGAACTCAGGGCCTTGTGCGGTCCAGGCAAATACTAAACCACTGAGCTACAGTGCCACCTCTTGGTTTAGTAGGAGGAACTGCTGATCTGTCTTCAACAAGATTGTGGCATTTTGTACCTCACCTTCAATGAATGAGGGTTTCTTTTGTTTACACTGTGGCCAGCATTTGATGTCATCAGACTTTTGCTGTTCTAAAGTGTGTAGTAGTAACATATTTTTGTTTTCATGATCCTACAGGAAATTTGTAGGATTTTCCCTCTGGGCTGACTACCTGGGCACAGTGGCCTTGGATGATATTAATTCTATCTAGGGTGTTGGTTATGATGGCTGGCAGCTTGCTCAACTTCCATATGGCTAGCCCAGACTTCTTCACCTGGTGATGGAAGGTTTGCAATAGCAAGAAAGGAGATGTCCTAATACACAGTTCTCCCAAGCCTCTATTTTTACTACACGAAGAGAGCAAGTCATAAATCTAGGCCCACATTGAAGGGAAAAGGATACAGAATGTTCTAGTTACACTTTCCCAATCAGGAGCAATTGATGACTGTGTATGGTACCCAATGATCTAGGGGAGGATTTAATGTGTACAATAGGGCATTATTCAAATGCCACAACCTGTTATATGTTTTAAACTACATAGGGGTTGTAAAAAAGAAACTCCTCTATCTTCTCAGAATTGCTAACATAGGGACCCTGGTACCTGATTGCCAGCTGTGGTACCCATTTCCTTCTCTTTTTCATTGCTGACCCACTGAGACTGACCAGAGGTTCTCTAACAGGAGAGGAAGAAGCACGCCCCTACAGAAAGTGCTGGGAAGGATATTGCCATCTCGGAAGAAAATAATATTGAGTTTACAAAAACTTAAATAACTTCTCCTCAACAAACCATCTCAGCTTAAAAGAGAATACCGACACACGGGAAGAGACAGAACCATCAAGCAGAGACTTCAGAAGTGGACACTGTCAGTGTCGTTGGTGAAATTGCAAGGATAACAGATAAATGGTGGTAGACACTCCACTGGAGCTCCTTCCTGAATTTACTGCAGGGGTGGGGTGGAGGAGTGGGGGTGAGGAGCAGGGGTGGGGTGGGGTGGGGAAGTAGCCCCTGTGTGAAAGAAGAGGCAAGGATTTGAGTAAGTTTCAAATCCCAGAAGCAGAATGTTTGTGGAGCAGGTTGTCTCTCTCACCTAGGATTCATCTTTCTTCCTTAGCTTGACAGCTGTAAATGTTTGCTGCCATTTTGTTCAACAGCTCCCCAAAGAAGCACTCTTCACGGGAAGGTCTTGTGCTTTGGAACACTGCAGTCAGTGATCAGGCATGACTCAAGAGCAACATTTGCTGCAAAAGAATAAGAGAGAAAATTTAGAGCACAGGTTTAGCTCCCGTTATTTAAAACTAACAAAATTATTAAAGTGAGGAACATATGCTAGACTATTCTTGCTTATTGAGACAAGGTCTTACCCATTAGGCTTGGGGGGAAGTGCTTTTCCCACTGAGCCATCTCGCCAGCCCAACAAACACTTTCAGATGAATTTATATATGGTGGTAGAGGTAGACAGTTGGGGTCGAAGATGCTTTTATACTGATTTGAATGGGCTTTTTTCTTCTGCAATGTTAGATGATGATTATAAATATTCCTAATCCAGTGAGGGACTTTTCTCTATTGTAGAAAAGGCCTTCCGTGAGATGTTGTTGACAGCAACATTCAGTTTTCCATACAGGGGCTCTCCGATCTTCACAACCCAGTTGCTCCCCCCACTTCATCTCTCCACTTCACCACCCTCAAAACACTCTCCGTAGTAAGAGCCCCAGGATAAAATGTTAGGACTAAGCGCTTTGAATTCTTTCTAGTATTACAGTTGATTGCACTCTGAAAACATGTCCACAGAGGCAGAAAATAAGTTTCCTTGTGATTGAAAAATACTTTTTATGAAACTTCCAAGGCGCTGGGAAGATAGCTCACCAGTAAAGTACTTACCATGCAAGCATGAGGACCTGAATGTGATCCCCCAATACCCACATAAAAAGTCAGCCATAGTCAGGTGTGTTTGTAATCCCAGCTCGTGGGAAGTGGAGACAGTAGGATCCTTCATGTTTACTGGCCAACCAGTCTGGCCAAACTGGTGAGCTCCATGTTCTGTTAGAGAGCCTGTCTCAAGAAATAAGCTGATGAGTAATGGAGGGAGATAACTGATGTCTACCTCTGGCCTACACACACACACACACACACACGCACGCACACGCACACGCACATGCACACGCACACGCACACGCACACGCATACGCACACACACGCTCACGCACACACACCCAGAGACACACACACAGACATACATACACAGAGATACATACATACACATACAGAGACACAGACACACAAGGATACACACATAGACACACACACACACACACTCAGAGACAGACATATACACACAGAGACACAGACACACATGTATGCATACACACACGCACACACACATCATTTTAAAGAAGTATCAATTTTACTTTTTTACTGTATTTGTTAGGTATGAGCAGGAGAGCGATTTAGAGTCTAACTTTAGAAACTGGAGATGATCCCCACATCTTAGTTCTGTTGGGGCAGGGGCTGTTTCTGCAGACAAGACATTCCCTTTACAGAAACAGTGATAAAGCTCCAATTAGTGACTGCAGCAATGAAGTGGGAATGTTTAACCTTTCGGGTGTGCCAACAATGTGCTTCTTAATTTGAAAATAGGGTACGCAGCGTTTGCAAGTGGAGAACGGCGATGGTTCGTCACTCAACTTGACATGCCTTCTTTGCAGCAGAGGCAAGGGAAGGGATCTTCTCTGCTCCATTTGTTCTGCCTTTTGCCTAAATTCTCTGAGAAAGAGCAGATGCTCTAATTAGGGGTACCAGACACTGAAAATATCTGGCACCTGGGGAGAGCATGCTGCCAGGTTCTCCTGCAGAAGCCAGCCTTCCTCCGGAGCACCTTGTGTGCGTCGCCAGCAGCGAGCCTTATTATCCCCTTTTTGCAAATGGTGGAAAAGTGCGGCAGGAGATTCAAAAGGCTCACTTGAGGCTACAGGGGAAGCCAAATGCTCCTCTCAAAATAGAAACGGAGAGCTCTGGGAAGCTTAGACAGCTCGAGAGGGTCCTTTAATCTCTGGACCCTTCTGCATCATTTTAGAAGCTTCTTTACCTCATGAAAGGGCTGCCAACTCTTCCTCCAGGATGTCGTAAAAAGGTGACATTTAGAGAAGGAAATTGAAACTCTAATTGACTTCTACTAAAGCAGGAAAATAAGTGTCCTGTGTTTCTTCTCGTAGCCAGATTTTTGTAATTTTCCCTTGGGACTCTACCCTGAGGGGAGCTAAAGAGGCAAAGCAGAATAGGCCACTTGAGTTGGTCTGTTTATACACTCAAGATTTGATTAATATTCTTCTCTTTTTTTTTTACTTCATGGTGGGAGCTATGGACAGTCCATTCAAGTGAACAGATAGAGGAAAAGGGTTTCTAGCCCATTCCCTGGATGTTGAGATAAAATAACCCTTGAGTGTCTTGCAATGATAAATAATAAGTTTGAGATGAATCCTCCATTTCCAGGTCTGGGTATACAGGTACCTGTGATTGTTTGTGTGCATTTTTATTTGCTTTGGATAATGTAACTTTAACACAGAGGGTGGAGCACTTTTTAGATGCACTTATGCAGAATGTCCTGTTCTCTTTTGCAGTCATCATCACAAGAAGAGCATGACCCAGGGTGCCTGCTGGTCCAAGGAAGAGGAGAGACACATGAAGCCTGGACCACAGACCAACTGAGCCCAAGCACCTGGCCTGGTCCCTGGCCACACTGTACAAACATATGCAGGGCAACATTGTTTACTGTTGTGGGTGATTGTAATGGTTTGCTCTACAGCACACCATGTTACAGCTGACTGATACAGAGCCATTGAAAGAGGAGATGGTGAGAAATTCTTAACAGAACATGAACAATGCTTGCAAAAGTGTTCAACTTAAGGTAATGACATAGTACTTAGCAAGTGCAAGAACTCAACAAAGATTGTATTTGATGTATTTTAACAGAATAATGTTCTGAATGTCTGGCCTGCCCATTGATATCTTCCTCACAGGTGACAATACCTTTTATATCCTTTTGTAGCTGTTCCTAACAAATTCTTTACTCTTTATTGCCCTGCCAGTATTTGGCATTTATCTAAGATTGAATTCTAGGCTGAACTATAAACCTACTATCTACATTCTACAATTAACATTTTGATGTATTTTTTTGTACATTTCTGCCTAGTCACTCCTCAACTCATTTTAATTCTAAAATGTATAGTTGTTATTATTGTGTGCATATGCCATGTACATAGACATATTTGAGACACAACACGTGTGTGGGACAGAGAAACCCCCTGTGGAACTGGATCTCCTTTTCTACCCTTACTTGTGTTCTTGGCATCCAACTTAGGTTGTGAAACTTCCGTGGCGAGTGCCTTTACCTGATGAACCTTCCCACTGGCCTGTCCATTTTTTGATGTTGTTCAAAATCAGTTGCAGGTGTTAGATGCCTCACCAACAAATGCACGTACTCACTACTCTCCAAAGTTTCCATAGACCCCTTCCAGTCCACTTTGCCCCTCTGCCTGAAGGCACACTCTCTGGTTTCCTTTCACAGTTTACATTAGTTTGGCCTGCTTTTGAACTTCATATAAATAGAAGTATGCACTGTGTAGCCCCCTGTGTCCATCCAGCTTCTTCTTCTTGGCTTAACACTTTTTTTTTTTAGTGAGAACATCTTTATTAGGATCTACATCTTAGATTTTCACATGGAAATTGAACCCAGAGATGCAAAAGACTTGAGGACTGTTCTGATGAATGAACATGCCATTTCCTGTCCTCTCCTCCCACCCAGTGCCCCTAAGCAGACAAAGATTAGGCATTTCAAATGATGTAGGGAAAGATTCACAGTGACAAAGAGTTAACGTTGTCTGCTAGAGACTCTCCCATGTTGACCTCATCTCAAATGAGTAATTTAGACAGTATCTTTGAAGATGGCTCTTAACCTTAAAACTTTGTGCTTCTGTGATGTGTCCCCAGCAACACTCATCAACTTCTCCTGCCCCATCTCCCTGCCTCGGGTTGATAAGTCTTTTAAAACCACAGAGGGGAGTTGTTGATACTTGTCTCTTGGGCACAGGGCTTTTGATTTAGTGAGTTCAGTAAGATGTAAGGGCCGACCAAGCTCTTAGGATGAATTGAACTGGACTTTCTCCTGGGGTGTTGCCTGCAGGATGTACCTAGGGGTCCCACCACAGTGTGAGGAAGCTGAGTTAGTGGGATCAGTTGAAGAACTTGGCCAGCTGTCTTTCTCAACTCTGCTCTGGTGGGCAATCCAGCACATGGGAGGGGGGCGGGAATGAAAGTTAAAGTGTCACAGGTCAGTTCAGAAGGGCTGAGTTCCAGGCCTGAGGCTGTTGAGCTGCTTAATTCCTTAGACTTAACTTGAGGTTTTACATTAGGCCAGCTGTAAAAATGAAAGGCACTGTCGGGCTGCCACTATCTTCATTTCCCAGAATCCCTTTGTGTGGGGACTTCCAGCATCAGCAGGGACCAGGTGACTTGTGTTAAGGAGGCACGGGGCTGTTTTGTGTTCATGTTTAAAAGGTCAGGACAAGGGCCAGGCCTCATTACTGTTAACAGAACTGCCAGCCTGCTTGGTCGTCTTGTGGGCATGGAGCTTTGTCTATAAATTCCTGTCTGTACAGTTCCTTGGCAGCCAGGAGACTGCACCAACATCACCTAGCTGGGCATCTGCCTTCAACTTCCTGTAGTTCCGGGCCAGGCAGCCTTACCTGCTAACCTAAGCCCATCACATAGACTTGCTGCTGGATTTAAGATCACATCTTTTAGGTCCTGAAGTGAGGTGAAGCCTTAAGTAGAGGGCTTGTCTAAGCAGTCCTGGTCAAGGCATGGTCCTGCCCATCCTTGTTTGTCAGGTTGACTGACAAGTTGTAACTTTCTTTGGCAGGGTGCGGGGTGGAGTGGGGGGAGGCTTCTCTTCTGGCTGAGCCAGGCTTCAGGCTTTCTCTTCTCCCCCAAGTGAATTTAGAATTCTTACCCCCTGGGTAGCATAATTCCAATTTCTTGGGTCCATTGTTTCAATAAGAGAGCCTTAGAGCAGTGGTTCTCAACCTTCCTAATGCTGAGACCCTTTAACACAGTTCCTTGTGTTGTGTGACCCCCCCCACCATAAAATTATTTCATTGCTACTTTGTAACTGCAATTTTGCTACTGTTAGGAATTGTAATGTAAATATCTGTATGTAAGAGATCTGATATGGGACCCCCCAAAGGGGTCACAACCCATAGGTTGAGAACCACTGCCTTAGAGTATCTTCCTCCCTGCCAGGCTGTTACAGAAGCAGCTGCCCAGAAACTCTCACTCATCTCATTTTCTCTCTGATGTTCTAGATAAGGTCAAGGCACACATTGCTGGAGCATACCTAGGGCTTCTGGGAAAGCTGGCAAAGCCCTACGTCAAAAGCAACTCTAGGTGAACACAAGCCACTGTGGAGAAACAAAAGTCACATGACCCAATCATGCCAATTTCTGTAGTTAATAGGAAATTACCACACATGTGCTTGAGCTCCAGAGAACAGGATAATGACCAAACTGACCACAGCCTAAGCTGCTGACTTATTCACACATGAAATAGTAAATGCATATTGTTTTAAGCCAGTGAGTTTGGGCATGGTTTGTTCCATGGCATTTTTGAGGTAATTGATATCTAAGACATATTTTAGCTACCCACTGAGGACAATGTGGTGCTAGTAGTCAGAAGAAGTTGAATGTGTTGCTTCATAATTAAATTATAATCAATAAAATGACATTATATTTATTATATATTGTAACATGAATTTATAATTGGTCTTTTTAATAAAAAAAATCCCAAGCCAGATATTGGGGTGAATGCTGAAAGATGAGAGAGACAAAGGAACAAGCCACTGCCATGTCTAACCTTGTCAACTCTACAAATCCTCTGACTGAATATTTCTGAGTCCTCAGCCAAAAGCTTTCCAGACAAAAAGCTTCAGTCAAAAAGGTTTTAGTTCCTGTTTCCCCACACATTATATACCTTTCTCCGCCCAGCCATCACTTTCTTCCTAGTGCTAGGATTAATGGCGTGTGTGCTTCCCACAATACTGGTAGCAAAGGCGTGTGGTTCCCAAGTACTGGGATTAAAGGTGCGTGAAACCACTGCCTGGCTCTGTTGCTCTCCTAGACTGAATCAATCTCATGTAGTCCAGGGTGGCTTTGAACTCATACAGATCCAGACAGATCTCTGTATTGGTGAAATTATTAAGGCCACTCCACGTAGTTAAAAGGGAGGTTTATTTTGTGGGGTGACTTACAAGTGAATGGATAGTTTACAGAGTCTGGGAAAGGCGTAGCGCAGTCTGGCGGTGTTCTCTGGAGAACTCTGCTCGGTCTGCCTCCAGCGTCCAGGGTCCAGGAACCAAGAGAGCTGACGCATCCGGATCTCGGGTCTTCAGGGTCCTCTCTTGGCCCTGCCTTGTAGGGTGACAGTTACTGAAGCCTCATTGGGGGTTGGAACTTCCAGATCAAGGCTGAAATGGCTACCCACTACATCTCTGCCTTCCAAGTGCTAGCATTAAAGGTATGTGCCACTACTGCCTGGCCTCTATGTTTAATCTAGTGGCTTATTCTGTTCTCTGGTCTTCAGGCAAATTTTATTAGGGTACACAATATATCACCACATTCCCCTTTTTTGTCTACAATAGTAAAAGATGGTTATAACAAATATAAAAGGTTATAATATAAGAAAAACTGGGCTGGAGAGATGGCTCAGAGGTTAAGAGCACTGCTTGTTCTTCCAAAGGTCCTGAGTTCAATTCCCAGCAACCACATGGTGGCTCACAACCATCTGTAATAAGATCTGGTGCCCTCTTCTGGCCTGCAGGGATATGTGCAGGCAGAACACTGTATCCATAATAAATAAATAAATCTTTAAAAAAAAAAAAAAAAAGAAAGAAAAACTATATACAATAAGTACAATAAGTATATACAATATATATAGTCAAGAATTACATTAACAATGTCCAGTCCATAAACATGTGACAAATACAGAGAAAATACTCCACTATCTATCCTATTTTGGTGAGTCCAAAATGTTGTACCTAATTCACTTTCTGTCCTAACTTCTATTACCAACTGAATACTATTTTTTGATGTCTTCCAAATTTACACACTTCACACTTCTTTAGTGAGTTTCTTTTCTGAGATTGTTAATAAAGAAAACTGTAACTATAACTATCTAATCTTCAACTCCCTCAGAGTTGGAAATGAGAGGGAAATAATATTAACTGAGTAAGCAGGAAGTGCAAATAATTGACTTCAAAAAATGTAAGAAATGACAGAAACAGCTGACTGACTGAACAGTCATCCAAGTTTCCTCTGCAATGTTGGGGCATCCATCTTCAGTCTACAGGCCTAGCATATCTGACCAAATTTTCTGTGAAGCAGGATTTTCTGAAGGGCTGTCCTACTTTGTCTTGGCAAGGTTTGACAGTCCTTTCTTTTGTGTTCTGCTTGTCTACTTTGGACAGCATACTGTCAGCAGTTGAGGTAAGGGCACTTTCTTGCCCAGTGGCTAACTTTTGCCACAAAGAAAGTAAACTCAATGTGAAGTTTCTTTGATGACCATCATCTTCTCTGAAGTAGATTGGTGCTATTAGGAGCAGACATGTCTCATTGTCATAAAAAAGAATCTATGTTATTAAAACATTTTAAAAGCCATATTCTGTAGATCTCTGAAATGTTTGAAGATATCCTGTTTATCTAAGATATATCTTCTTGACCTTGAAAACATACCTAACCTGACTACAAGTTCAGTTGTAATGACTAACTACTAACTTGCTTTTCTTTATATACTAATTAGTTGGTAATAACTTTCAAGGACTAGAAAATTGCATTACATTGTTAAATGAATTGTATAGGTACAATACCTTGAACAAGCTTAGAAACATGTGTATAGTATGTTCTAACATAAATAATCTCAAATTTGTATCAATATACAAAATTTGTATACAATATACAAAAATCCAATCCAATGTAAAATACTTAAAACTAGTAGTTGCTTTTAAAAAGTAGATTCAATAATCTACCTTTTTATCTTATTATATCCACATTCCCCTGCTGTGGGATATCTTTCTGTATGCTGTGAATATATGTTGCTCCCATTTGGTTAATAAATAAGCTGCTTTGGCCTATGGCAAGGCAGCTTAAAAGCAGGTGGGAAAAGAGAGAGACAGGAAAGAGAAAGGCAGAATCTGGAGAGATGCCAGCTGCCACCGAAGGAGAAACAACATGCCAAGAGACCAGTAAGCCATGGAACATGTGGCAAAACAAAATTAATAGAAATGGGTTAATTTAAGACATGAGAGCTAGCTAGCAAGAGGCCTACCATAGACCATACAGTTTATAAATAATATTAAGCCTTTGAGTGATTATTTTATAAGTGGTTGTGGGACCGCAGGGCCAGGCGGGACTGGAGAAACCTTCTGACTACATTCTCCTTCTTTTCTTTTCAGAGTAGATTCAATAATCTACCTTTTTATCCTAACATTTCTATATCTTTTCTTTTCAGAGTAGATTAAATAATCTACCCTTTTATCATATCATTTCTATATCTTTGTTTTTTTTCAGAATATATTAAATAATCTACCCTTTTATCCTGTCATTTCTATATAATACATTTCTTTATCATATCCCCCTTTCTTCTTTTAGAAAGAGATTGACTATGACCAATAACAACTTTTAACAAACCCCTAAACAGAACAAACATCCATACTCCATTTTTTGGGAATGTGGGTGTAGTTTTCTAGGCTACTCCCTGCTGATTGGGGGCAGTGGTAGTCTTATGGGGACACAAAGAAAATTTAGGATTGTGGTCAAGTCCTGATTGGAGTAGTCTGTGAGGCTGTATCATCTCAGCTAGCCATCTTGATACTGTCCTGAGCAGTTTGTAGTCCAAAGCCAATCTTTGGGTAGTGTTTGTCAGCTTGGTGGCATTATCATACTCCATGTGAAATTGTTGTTGTGGGATAGAATCACCTTTTCAAAGACTTCAAAGGTCACTATTAGGCATGGTCATGGTTCACTGCAGAAAATCTTTCTTGTGAGAAATTTTTTTTGGATGATTCGTCCTTTTTCTTCAGATGTCTCATTTGTCAAGTGTTCTTCAGATTCCTTAGCCTTTATTCTCCTGAAAGACAAAAACAAAACCTTTCCACAACTCTAACTTTGGGGAGGTTCCCTTTTGGCAATTTATACCTGATCAAATAAAAAGCTTTTGTTAGTTGTGTAAGTTAATTTAAATTGAATGGTCATGCTGGTTGATGAACTATCACCTCTCTTGTTCAAATTGAACCTTTATCAATTTTGATGGTATCCATAGCTTTTCTTCTTCTGTGGAAACAAAAGCAAAACCTCATCTCCAATGTAACACATATCCTGGTTTCCATTCTGAGGTCAGCACATCTTTAAAGTATACAGGCTGATTTTAATTCTGTAGTTTTTTCTATTATCTAATGTCGCTCCACAGCTGTTGTTCCTTTCTTATTAGCATTTAGAAAATTCCAAGATGATAAAGCATTATGTAATCTATTTCTGGGGGTTTTTGTTACTCCTTTCTATTTATTTAGCATATCCTTTAGAGTTTGATTTGTTCTTTCTATGACTGCTTGGCCTGTAGGATTGTGTGGTATACCTATAATATGCTTTATATTGTAATAAAAAAAAAGCTGTTTCATTTTACCAGAGACATATGCTGGAGCATTGTCAGTCTTAATTTGTACAAGTATACCAATGATGGCCATAACTTCTAGCAAATGTGTGACTATAGAGTCAGCCTTTTCAGAACTCAAAGCAATTGCCCATTGAAATCCTGAATAGATATCAATGGTGTGGTGTACATATTTTGATTTTCCAAATTCTACAAAATGAAGCACATCCATCTACCAGATTTCATTCCTTTGAGTACCCTTTGGGTTACTTCCTGCAAGTAGTGGAGTTTGATTAGATAAAGAACAAGTAGGACATTTCCTTATAATTTCCTTGGCTTGTTGCCAGGTTGTAGAAAAATTCTTTTTCAAACTCTTACTATTAATATGATGTTTCTTATGAAATTCTGAGGCCTCCAGCACATTTCCTATCAATAGTTGATCAATCTTGTCATTACCTTGTGTTAGAGGGCCTGGCAGACCCATACAGGATCAGATGTGAGTTATATATAAGAGATGATTCCTATTCCTGATTATTTCTTGTAACTGAATAAATAACGAAGTTAATTCTTACTCATCAGAGATAAATTCAGCAATTTCAATGTGTAAGACCACTTTTCTGCATACTGAGAGTCAGTAACTATGTTGAGAGTTTTTGAAAACATCTGTTAATACCATCAGAATGGCATATAATTCCAAATTTTGGACAGAATTATAAGGACTTTGAATCACTTTACTTCAAATTTCTGATTTGTAACCTGCCTTTCCTTGTTTGTTTGCATTGTATAAAATGTAGGGACTCCAGATATTGGTGTTTCCCATACAATGTGAGGCAGGATCAAGTTAGTTCTCTTTATAAGTTGAATTATATTGCTTTTGGGATATTTGTTGTTAATCTCTCTCAAAAATTACTGCAAGCTCTTTGCCAAGGTTCATTTTCTGACTATAATTCATAAATTACATTATTAGTTAAAGGTACTACAATTTTTGCTGGGTCTATTCCTGCTAATTGACAAAATCTCAATTTTCCTTCTAAAACTAACTCAGAGATCTTTTCCACATAAGTTTTTTAATTTTTTACTCTGTTTATTTGGTA